ATCTTAAAATTAGGACAGGTCGGGGCTGGAGCAATAGCACAGCGGGTAAGGCATTTGCCTTGCACGCGGCCGACCCAGGTTCGATTCCCAGCATCCCATACGGTCCCCCCGAACACCACCAGGAGTGATTCCTGAGTGCATGAACCAGGAGTAACTCCTCTGCATGGCCAGGTGTGACCCAAAAAAGCAAAAAAAAAAAAAATAGGACAGGTCAAAGTTAGTTTTTCCATTAACTGTGAGAAAGATATTAGGCAAATTAGGAGAAACAATTTGAAGGGTAATGCTTACCTAATGAAAGGAATAAAACTTTTTGAGGCATTTGTGAAAACTCATTTACAGAAAAGTAATAAAATTGTTCTCTTCTCAAGTAGCCTGTGCAATTTAGGTCAGTCCTTAATTTTTTTTAAATTTCAGTTCAATTGCTAACATAGGTTTGTTAGCAAGTCATTGTGTTTATGTGCATAAACTAAAGACATGTCTAATTATATAAAGCTTATGAGGATATTTTAAATGTTGATTCCTTAAATCACCAAATAAAAGTACAATGACACAAATTATTTTTCTATGTTGTATTTCATTTATACTTGTAAATTGGGACCAAGGACATGGCTTAAAGATTAGGCTTTGCTTGCTGAAACTCTGCATTTGTTCTAGATACCACATAGTTCCAAGAATGACTGCTAAAATAATTAAATAAAAACATTACCTATACCTTAAATTATATCATTTTATTTAGCAACAATTATTATATGACTTTATTCTTTAATTAAATAACCTAAGGTACAGTCCTAACATGAACCTAAAGAACAGTCTCAGTGATACATTCAGGAGAACAAGCATGTTGAAAAATGGTGAGATTCCATGGAACTGAGTCACGTTTTCTCTGAAAATAGTCAGGAAATAAGAATAAGGGTGATTTCCTTGTCAGTTCACTAATGTGGTTACTCCATACATACATATAGATGTACATGTATATATTGATATATATATGTATATATATATTGATTTGTTCGAGCGGGCCCAGTAACATCTCCACTGGAGACTTTGTTGTTACTGTGTCTGGCATATCGAATACTCTCGGTAGCTTGCCGGGCTCTCCGAGAGGGGCGGAGGAATCGAACTCGGGTCGGCCATGTTGGCTATGTGCAAGGCAAATGCCCTACCACTGTGCTATCACTCCAGCCCCTTTTAAGCTTTTTTTTTTTTTTTGCTTTACTCTTTGCTTTTTGGGTTACACCCAGTGATGCACAGAGGTTACTCCTGGCTCATGCACTCAGGAATTACTCCTGGTGGTGCTCAGGGTACCATATGGGATGCTGGGAATCGAACCTGGGTCAGCTGGTGCAAGGCAAATGCCCAACCCACTGTGCTATCCACACACACACACACACACACACACACACACACACACACATATGCTAAAGCTCTAGAGGGAAGAACATAACAATAGGGGATGGTAAGTGTCCTCATGTATTGATCATTCCATTAGCATAAGGATTTTTCAGTAACGTTGTGGTAGGAAATCAGGAATGTGCCCAGACTTCCTGCTAGATTGAAAATCTGAGTCTGAGCAATTTTTGAAAGATACTAAAAATCCATAGTTGATTAGAACATGTTCAACTTGGTTTCCAGATCTGTCATTATAGAAGACGCTATGGTTTCTAAGAGGGTAGTATTCAAGGGAAAGAAGTTTCCGAATATTACAAAGTGACAGAGGTAAAAACTAGAAAGTCAGAAAACAATTAATTAAAACCAAACAAAAGTCAAATTATCTGTAGAAGGACCTGGGTATTTGTGCACATAGGTTTTTCTTTAGGGTTTTTGTGTAAGCTTAGTAGTACAAATTTGTAAATGCTTGCTCTCAGAACGACACACACACACACACACACACACACACACACAAACAATGGCAGCAAATGTTCATGGGGGCATAACACAAAACGTTTACAAATGTTCTAATATTTTTTAACAAGTGAATTTATGCATAGAAGAGATTTGATGGGATGAGAATTTGGAATTTTTCTAACATATTTCAAGTGAACATGAAATTGTGGGGTATTAGTGTTAATAAGCTGACTCTACGGGTCTTACCCTAGAAAGCCCTTTTCATCTGAATTTTTTTCCCCATTTCCCCCTTTTATGACTAATCCTTCAGGAAAGAAGATTATAAATAGATGAAATTAAATGAATTCTTTTCTCTGCTCCATGATTTTAGATGTTCCTTAGTTTTACTTTCAATGAGAATATTACTACGAGATACTACATTGAAATCACAAAGCTTCAATACTTTCAATTACTGAAATCAAGAGAAAAATTATCAGAGATAGGTTAGATATTACGAGCCTATCAATCTCCGTAAGTTCAGAGTTGAAGTAAGTTACTAGCAAATACTGACATTTTAAGAGTTAAATACTTCATTTCCAAAGGAAAACTCATTTTAATTTCGTGATTAATTCCCACGTAAACTTCCTCAACTTCATATAACTGGCCTGTCAAGATTATAATGTGCTATGTTGAACTCTTATTACTTATGTAACTTTTTATAATGAGGAAATGCATCATTTTCTTTAGACCAGAAATTGAGCTATATAGACTATAATTTAAAGCACTGCTTATAATCATGTCCCTTAACTTATAATCATGGCCCAAAAATATGGTAACTATGTAAATTATGCATTGAATATTTAGATTGGAAGATTCCTTTTGCATAGAATGTTTTATTGAAGATTGACAGTATAATAACTATTATATGAAAGCACTGGTGACCTGGTTCAAATATGAAATAACTTTCTAGTAGATGAAGTTGGGCAGATATCTTTGTGTCTTTGTATTTACTTATATATACAATAGGCATATTCATAATATTCATTGTGAGGGTTTTTGTTTGGATTTGATATGTATTACATACATTAAAGCAAAGAGTTTAGAACTATACCTGGCATATGTCAAACTTCCAGAATATCATTTTCTTATTAAATAATTTTATTATCATAATAATGTGATTTAAAGATTTTTAAAGAAAAAGTTAACAGATATTTGTTTTTTTTTAAATGGAATATTTTTAAATGCTTACATCACTTATTATCAGTGAAGTTCAAATGAAGATGACAATGAAATATCATCTTGCACCAGTAAAACAGTACACAACCGAAAACAAGAACAATTTGTGTTGGTGGGTTATTGGGGATGTATTAACAGAGAAACTCTCATCCAATACTGGTAGAATTGTGGTCTCATACAAACTCTATGAAAAAATGTAAAACCTCAAAAAAGTACGAATAGAACTGCCACATGATCCACCAATTCCATTTCTTGGTTTCTACTCCCAGGTCACACCAACGTTCATTTGAAGGGACATATGCATATCATAATTGATTGCAGCACTTAGGTAGCTAGGATTTGGAATCAACATAAGTGACTAACAACAGATTGCTAATGAAAGCATGGTATATGTGCATGATGGAATACTATCCAACCGCAAGATATGATAAAATCATGAAGTTTGCTGCAACTAGAATGGAACTGTAGAATATTACATCATGTGAAATAAATCTGAAGAAGAAAAATATCAGATAATCTCATGTTCAGTGATACATAGAGTAACTGAATGGGAAAATTCAAGGTTTCATTGGGGGTCATACCTATATCACCCTTGACCTGACCTGAGAATCTAAATAAGACTAGGGCAGGAATGAAATAGGAGGTGGGCAGTACCTTTGGAGTATGTATGAAGAGGTACACGGGAGGTAACAGGTAGAGGTTAGGGACCTTGGTTATAGACATGTAATATATCTGAGCCACAGCTGTCGTTTATACTCTTCTTATTGCAAGGTGTCAAGACCCACAGAGTTGAGGAAACGTACAGCATGAGATCTAAACTATAGGCACCAAACCAAGTATTATGGCTCACAGTGGGTCAGGATGTGGGGTGGGATGTAAACTGAGGACATTAGTGGAAAGAAGTTTGACTGGTTGTGGAATTGGTGATGGAACAATGCCTGAAACTCAACTATGAACAACTTCGTGAATAACAATTCCTTAATAAAAGTTATTTCATTAAAATTGAATTTCAATTAATGTAAAATATTTTAAAGACAGGTGAATGATCTTGACGAAGAAGTCTGACCTACCAGATGGTCAGACTTCTTCGTCAAGATCATGAATGATCGGTTTGAGGCCCTTCATGTTCCCGGAGCGAACAGATGCCATTGGGCTACACTAGCACGCGACAGGGACAAATGGAGACGTTACTGGCGCCCGCTCGAGCAAATTGACGACTAACGGGAAGTTAAGTGATTAAGTGATAAGTGATTTTAAAGACATCAATGATATCTTATTTTGATATTCTTTTTCTTATGTATTATTTGGTTAGTCAGACTCATAAAACTTATATTAACTTTTTATTATGAAGAATCCCGGCTAATAAAGAAGATAAATATATAATAGTAGTCAAAACACTTTCTTTCCTTTTAGAGATGTATACTATTATATGTATCTGAGGGAAAACTTTCTGTACAATTACCTCATTGTGAGTTTAAAAATAAATTCCCTTTTGTTCCAAAATACTATTTTTATTACTTAAGGAAACAAGGATTTTACTTCTGGTCTAAGTTCCTTGTAGCTGTTTCCAGGTGCCTTTCCCACCCCAGGTCTCCCCACAGCTACCATTAAAGCCTCTTTTACTGCTTGAAAAAGTTTTAATATTCAGCAGGTTATGGAAACCCATGGTCAGCTTTAGAATTTTAGTCTCCGCTGAGCTTTCAAGGTGTCAAGACCCAAAAATAATATGAACAGCAGGAGTACTAAATCTTTCATTATTTTCAGTTTCCCCTTGAGCATACTGACTTTGCAATAAAGAAGCTGTCGTTTACACTCTTCTTTATTGCAAGGTGGGTAACAGCTACAGGGATGAAAATAAGGAGCTGTGTCAAGTTAGCCTGACTGCCATTATGATGAATGGGTAATCATTGCACATTTGCATCTACTCTCCTTCTGTACAGGTACTTCATAGACTGGAAGAGTGATGGGGACAGCTACTTCACAATAGATGGAACTGAAGGAACCATCGCCACTAATGAATTACTAGACAGAGAAAGCACTGCCCAGTATAATTTCTCCATAATTGCGAGTAAAGTTAGTAAGTATGGCATGGATGAAATCAATGTCACGCTGCGTTTCTTTGGATTTAGCATCCCTCAAGGGGTCTCTGCCGAAGTGTTTTTCATTTTTGGACTGACAGCTGAGTAGTCTCCTGGGCAAACTCAGAAACCTGTTCCCTTTCTTCTAACATGAGTCCAGAGGAATTGGAACAGCTGCCCGTGAACCCTGTTTCTCTCCTGCATGCATGTCTAGTGATGCATCTCACCTCGTCTCTGTGCTAACCCCTCAGAGACCTACAGGGTTTCCAAGTGCTCACTCACCCCGGCACCTGATTCCGGACTGGGCAGGAGAAAATAATAATCACGTGAAATTACCCATTGTGAACTTTTCCTTTTTTTCAAATTGAAGAGAGAATTTGAAAAACTCACCTTCTTCCTCCTCTGTTTTTTTTTTCCTCTTTGGTCACACTCAGTGATGCACAGGGGTTACTCTTGGCTTGCACTCAGGAATTACTCCTAGCAGTGCTCGGGGGACCATATCGGATGCTGGGAATCGAACCTGGGTCGGCCGCGTGCAAGGCAAATGCCCTACCCGCTGTACTATCCCTCCAGCCCCCCTCCCCTATTTTTATTAGAATGTATTTTTTATGAATAGCTTCGTGAAATATATCTACCTTTATAGAGTAAATCTTCAAAGAGTTCATCAAATCGGTAGAATTATGACAGGCATTTAAGTGAGTTTCTCCTTAATTCAGAAGAGAATCGTGTATTTAATTTTTGGGGGGAGTGGAGTAGTATATCCCTCCACTCCAGTAAGTGATCGAGACTTACTCCTGACTTCGCACTCAGAGATCAATTTTCCCAGGCTCTAGGGACCATTCTGGAGGGCCAGGGATCAAACTGAATCTACAGTCTAGCCACCATCCTATCATTTCAGCTCAGAAGAGAGTATTGTAAACTCAGAGTCATTATAGACTTCATATGCCCACCCGGACCATCAAAGTTATTCTTAATTATTCCCTAGGGTGACAGACTAAGGTGGGAGTAATGCCATTTGGCTACTGGATGTGTCTGCTTTTAACAGAAGTGCATTTTACCAGTCCTTTTAGAGTCGCTTAAAAGGTGGGACTATGGGGCTGGAGCAATAGCACAGTAGGTAGGGCGTTTGCCTTGCAAGCGGCCAACACAGGTTCGATTCCTAGCATCCCATATGGTCCCCTGAGCACTGCCAGGAGTGATTCCTCAGTGCAGAGCCAGGAGTAGCCCCTGTGCATTACCAGGTGTGACCCAAAAAGAAAAAAAAAAGGTGTGGCTATCTTTCATTTTCTTTTCTTTTAATTTTATTTTGTTCATCTGCCATCAGAGGTTTGGCAGTCAATTTCACTCCACTATGCTCTTTCACAGTCATACAATTTCTACTGAGAGTTTGTAATCAGGGTCAATGCAATGGGGGTGTCAATCTGATATTTTTATTTATCTGACAGTAACTGCTGTGCATGAATATTCAGATGCTTATTCCCAGACCTTAAATTATGTCTTTAACAGAGTTCATCACTTTTAGGTTATGAAGAATTTAAAGATAAATCTACAAGAAATGAACACACATTTTTTTGCCTTATTTTTTTGCAATAACTGGTGTGCCTTGGAGGAAGAAAATTCTGAGGCTGACATCATAGAATGACTGCCTGCAGATGGTCAGATTAACAAATACAGCTCACTTCATTTCAACCTTCCACCATGTACATTACATGCTGAGTGGGTGACACATGATATTTTAGAAGCTCTACCCAAGAGCTCTTCCTAGTTAAAAACCAAAAGTCAACTTTATCATTGTGACATGAAATTTAACTTTCTTCAGGAAAATCTCGCTCAGTTCGCAGCCACAAACCTGTGAGTTCTACCAAAATTGTTAATATAATTAATATTTTTGCAACCAACGGTTGAGCTAAGTGCATCCCTCAATACCCTCAGAAATTAAAACTTTGATTATTGGGGAAATAGATTCTCCAGCCTTTTGTTGTGAAAAGGATAGAGGGAGGTACAAATTCATAAATCTCTAGCTGACTTTCTAAGGTAGCCCACTGGTTCCCACTGCAAATGAACTGGCTGAATGCACTGTTCTCTTGAAGGTTTTATGAATTATTTTATGTATAGGCTTTTGTAATCTCTCTCTAGAAGGAACTTGATATGGACACCCATGGTAGACATTACAGAATTTTTCCATTCCAGGACTCTTTGCACAGCCCTGCTGGGTGGGTTAATAGCATGAGTTCTCAATTTCAGGTTCCTGCTATGCCTAGTTGCCTCTGAGGAAACGATCCCATCTAGGCATGCTAAACAAATACATTATAGACTGTGCTTTGGCTCTATTCTTTCTCTGTTAAACCACCTCTCCATTGACCCAGTTCAGTTAGAGTCTGAGAAAAGATTGCCCTATCAGTTGTCGGAGCAGATATGTTATCAGGGAAATAGAATATCAGTCTCTGTTTTAGGACCCCTTATTCTCAGGTTTTCCAACTCTCGTTTCATGCTGTTATCCATTATTTTCCTCTTATATCATAATCTGTTTGTTACTTATATTATTCATCACCCTTAACTTGTGTTAATTTTTAATTACTTAATTTATCTAGAATATTGCATGCAAACACATTTTCTAGTACTTTTGGCATATCAATAAAAATGGACCATAAGTTATGCATTAACAGACATCTCTCAATCACCTTGCATTCCTTCCAATGCCCTGTTTCTTAATAAGCCTCAATTGAACAGTCTTTTCAGTAACTTTTTAATTAAAGTAATATTACATTATAGCATTATGTAAGTTTCAGGTATAAACTCCTGAACAGCATGTCAATTTCCCAAACTACGTTAAGGTCTTCCCTAAAGATCTCATTCTTTCCTTCACCATGTATACCCTTTTGTCCTAATTCCCCTTGTCTTTTAGTAACCAGAAGTTGGTCCTATAGTCTAAAGTTTATCTTGGTTTTATTTAGTTTATTTTTATAATATGATTAATCTCTGGAAATCTCTTTTTTTGCAGCTGTAGACTATTATAAATAATACTACGATAAGCACAAATATATATTTATCTTTGAAATAGTATTGTCATACTTTTTTAATGTTGGTATCCAAGCCAGGGTGTTATTTACACATGCAAGTATTTGCATTGTTATATAATAATTTGAATAAGTACCCAAACGTGTTATATCTAAATTCTTTGATTTCTTTTCAGTGTTTTGAAGAATTTCTACTGTGGTGTCCAAATGTCTATGCTAATTTACATTCCCATCCATATTGTAGAAGAATATTTTTCTCCACATCATTGTAACACTTAGTGTTTCTTTTTATTTTATATAATAGCTATTTAAAAATATGGGAGGTAGTATCTCAGTCATTATCTTTTACATTTTTTCTCCAAAGAGATAATCCACATTTGCTCATGAGTATGCAAAAAATGAAATCGTAAAATGAGAAATAAGAAAGAAAAACAATCCCATTAGCAACACCCTCAATATTTAAAAGTTTTGCAATAAATAAATTGAAAGATGTGAGAGCTATTTTTAAAATATAAAATAGTATTTAAAATAATACATAAACATACTAGAAAGATTTTTTTTCTCTAAAGTTATTGCCCTTATAAAATATCATTTATTGTAAAGCTAATCTACCTTAGGCCCTTCTACTAACAAATACAAATATTTTGCATATTTTCAGTTAGAAATTGCAGGGCCCCATAGCCTACCTATGATGAAACCCTGAAGGCATTTTTATTAGTCTGTTGAATTGTAGCTATGGAAGATAACTTTTTTATATCCTGTCGCTGGTGAGGCCATTAAGCTATCATCATGCAATGTCAGTACATAAAGTTGCAGGCCAAACTGGCAACTTCCAGTTTGAACTTTAAGTTTGAACTTTTTGGAAGTGATGTGTGGATTCCTACCAGTTAAGTGTCCCTAAGTGATAAACACGCAGTCTGGAACTATAAATTGTATATATTTGCAGTTGAGGATAGAAATATTGATATGCTAAACAACAGATACAAATATCAATAACACATGCATGCATGTATATATATACATGCACATACATAAAGATATGTTAGTTTATTATTTATAGACTAACCTTCATCCAATCCAGGATCTATTCTAAGGCTACTGCAAATTTTAGAGTATTCAGGATTTACTGTTGAGACAAGTACTCTACGTGTATGTATATGTATTATATACCACTTGGTAATTAAAGAGTCTGCAATAAGATTAGCTTGTTGTAGAATTTTTGTTGTTTGAAATCACGGAGCTTAAAATTAAAATGTATTCATATTATAAAGCTAAGGCTGTTTCCATTGACGGAAATAGCCAGCTGAGCAGAAAACTATCATCAAAGTGAATGACTAAGAAAGAAATAGCTCACACTTGCCCTGCCAAGAAGAACAGAACTGGGCAAGTGTACCTTATTAGAGACTAAAATTGCTTACGTATTGGCTCTGACCTTTCTCCAAATATTCTCAGAAGAAATGATATGGTACAATGATTGAACAACTTCAACTTAATTAAAAAGGAGTCATTAATCAGTGTTACTGTTGTTGGAGATCCAAATAATTTCATTAGACCCTAATAAGTATTTTATGCATTATTGCTTTGCTGTTTTTATGATACCAGTCTTGAGAATTTTAAAAGTAACAGAAGCACTAAAAAAATCACTTCAACAAATTACTAGAAACTTTCAACAGCCAAATGTTTCTAAATTTGGAGGAGGGATATTTAAATTATAAAGTAAACAATACTAGAGACAAATCACTTTTTTTAATTCATGTTAGTTATTTAGGTGAAAATGAATTGAGAAACAGATTTATAAAAATTGTGACTTTGGGACAGAGTGGCAGTCTCCTGCCCCTGCGCCTGACTGTCCTCACCGCCGGGCCCCCTGGGAGGGGAGTGGGTTGAGCTTTCCTCCCCACCCTGACCAGGGCTCCGGCAGTCAAAGACCTCCAGGACCAGCCACCACCATGCTGAGACCACTCTCCGCACACATGAAGGTA